TGTGTGTGTGTGTGTGTGTGTGTGTGTGTGTGTGAGAGAGAGAGAGAGAGAGAGAGAGAGAGAGAGAGAGAGAGAGAGAGAGAGAGAGAGGGAGAACACACACTTGCAGATTCAGTCCACAAACCCCCCGCCAAAAAAGACCCCGTTCATAAAACCTTGCCAACAGCAGCCTTCTGCCCGAGTGCTCCACACTATTATTGTACAATCGCACGGCCCAAACTCCATTCACACGGGCCTGAACCAACCTCGGCCTGAACAGTCGCCACCAGACCCAAAAACAAAATCGTGGGAAAACAATATTTGAACACTCACCGCCAGACTTGAAACAATAGTCGGGCGTGAGAAAAAGAACCGCGAAAGTCCCCCGTGGGCCTCCAGCCAGTCCCCAACCGGCTGCATCCGACTGAAAACTTGGCCTTTCGCAAATGCATCTGACCGGTTCATGTGCCCATGTGCTCTGTCCGCGGTGAAGGGAAATTGACAAGGCCCCACCGAGTGGAAACAGTTCAGCCCGCTGTCCGACAGCCCGCTGTTGTCGGACACGGATGCACCGAGGTCATCTTTCCATTTGTGGCAAACTCTCTCTCCCGCGTCTTCATGCCGTTGCTGTTCGCTCTTAAACTTTTTGTCGCGGGTGGAGGCACACACGTTGTCTGGGATGAGGCATAGCAGCGAGGCCGTGCTTTGGATACACCTGTGGCTTGGTTTGGTCTTCGGTGGGACTTCTGCTGCTCAACCCTTGCTGTGGACGAGAACACGGTGTGGTACCCACCGTTCGCCACAGACGTGCTCTTGCGTGTGCGCCTCCCATATCTGTGGTGGCCGGTCTTGGCCTGTCTCTTATACACATCTAGATGTGTATAAGAGACAGGTGGTGGGCTGTTCGTTCTTTGGGTGCACGTGAACGCCTTGTGCGTCTCGGAATGTCGTGCCTGAGAAGGAGGCAGCGAGAAGAGCTCACTGTTGCGATGATGGCTGTTGCTGGTAGGATGGCCGAGGATGCTTTTCAAAGCCTCGAGGGGCTCCTTGGTTCCCGAACAACGAGGCCACTTTTTTGGGCCCCACAGGCCGATCACACCCTGTTAGGTAGAGGAGAAGACGACGACGACGATGGCCGGGGAGGGCGTAGTTTGCTTTGGCTATGGCCAACCATTGTTGAAATCTGCAACCTCTTGCCTCGGGCTTCACCTAGGTGGGTCATGAGGCGAACAGCAGGGTTGTGGAACATTTTTCTTCCAAGAGATGACGCTGAGAACGACCATTACCTTGGGCTCCTGCGCATGCATCGGTCAACTTTCAATAAACTGTTGCTTCCCGTGAAGAAACTGGCATATGCTCCCCATAGGTGGGCCCACGGTGACTCACACTGACACAGTTGCTCTGGTTATGGGATGGGAAAAACGAGCGGGTTGCGAGCAATCAGAGAAGCGGCGGAGGCCATTCATGCCGCTTATCCGAATGTCGTTGGGTTTGGTGGGTTGGAAGAACGTCACCGTCGAATGCATCAATTTGAGGCGTTGGGTTTTCCAAATTGCTGGGGCTTTATTGACTGCACCCGTGTATGTCGACAAACCCTGTTCAAAGGACGGCGACGAGTATTGCTCCGGTCGGCACAACCGGTTCTCAGTCATCGCGCAACTCGTGGTCGACCATGAGCTCAATATCCTGGACTTCTGCTGCGTTTTTCCGG